GTCGTGTCGTGTCGTGTCGTGTCGTGTCGTGTCGTGTCGTGTCGTGTCGTGTCGTGTCGTGTCGTGTGGTGTCGGCCCTGATCCGCCTCTCCACAGAGGTCCAGCAGCAAGCAGCCCACTACGCCAGCAGATAACTACTACCTGGCGCGGCGGCGGACGCTGCAGGTGGTGGTGAGCTCCCTGCTCACCGAGGCCGGCTTTGAGAGCGCCGAGAAGGCAGCTGTGGAGACGCTCACCGAGATGCTGCAGAGCTGTGAGTGCGCCCAGGGTTGCCGCCCTTCATGCCGGCAACACTGCGAATGTGCCCGTTGTGAATGTGCCCATTGGAACACGACTCTGAGGGTGACAGAGCACTGGAACAGGCTGCCCAGAGAGGTTGTGGAGTCTCCTTCTCTGGAGATCTTCAAACCCGCTTGGACGCAGCCCTGTGCCACGTGCTCTAGGTGACCCTGCGTGTGCAGGGGGGTTGGACTGGATGACCTCGAGAGGTCCCTTCCAACCTTAAGCATTCTATGATTCTATGAAGGGTTTGATAGAGTCGTTATGGGTGGAAAAGACCTTCAAGATTGATGGATTAGCTAAAAATGCCCTCAAAATTGGGTGTCCCAAGCCACGATTGGGCTGGACTAACTCTGTGGTCACTGCCTGGAAAAAACACATGTTGCTGTTTCTTTGCCAGATATTTCTGAAATCGGAAGGAGCGCCAAGTCCTATTGCGAGCACACGGCCAGGACGCAGCCAACGCTCTCCGATATCGTCGTTACACTCGTCGAAATGGGTGAGCACCCACCAGTTTGAGTAATTCTGGCCGCTTGTGATGACCAGGGTTTGTGTGTGGCTCCCCATTGGGAAAGGGCCCTTTCTGTTGTGCATGCAATGCGAATATAACAGAGAATGCATCATTTTTGTTGTATGTACAGCGGAGCCCTTAGCAAAATTTTGCCTGACTTCTCTCTGAGTAGAATGAGGCCTCCGGTAACAGATTCTTTTGGCAGAACAAACTCCTGATGTAATTTCTATTTCCTTCTCTGTTTCAGGATTCAACGTAGAAACACTTCCTGCGTACGCCAAGCGCTCCCAGAGGATGGTCATCACTGCCCGTATGTGGAAAATCCCTTCTCTTTGTACATAGGAAATTGGAGGGGGAAAAAAAAGACCTTTCCACCTGACATCCAGAGCGCTGCTGCTCTTTTCATGGATGACATAGTCTAGTGTTTCTGGATGTACAGCTCATGTTAAAAAAATTCTGTAATTACTATGTAATTGGTTGTGGAAGGATACCCTCCAACAAATCAGTATCGTTTGCCTTTGCTTCAGCATCCTTGTTGCACACAAGACTCTGAAGATGGTTTTCTTTTTTTGTGTGCAGAAGAGAGGACTTGAATAACTCTTGTTCCCTGTTCCAAACAAAACCTACAATTACTTATTTTGAAAAATGCTCTCTTCCTCTTACAGGACCTAGAATCTTGAGTCACAGCTCAATGTAGGCTAACACTTCTTTATGCCTAATGCTTGGCAGAGTAATGCTGATCTCTGTGTGCGGGTGTTTTTTGAACTGTAGCTCCTGTGACAAACCAGCCAGTGACTCCCAAAGCCCTGACAGCTGGACAGAACAAGCCACATCCATCCCACATCCCTGGCCACTTCCCTGAGTTTCCAGATCCTCACACCTACATCAAGACACCAGTGAGTGAGAGAGACTTTTGTGTCATTTGGAGTTTGTCTGGAGTCAATAACATCATTAGTTGGTGTATAAGTATTTTTACTATGGCACTGGCACTTTTTATCCAAGACATCAGGTTGCCTGACTTCATTTGCTCTTGCTGTAGATTTTAGGCTGGCTAACATGTAGGTGTCTGAAAGGCTTGTGCATATTGAAAGTCTGGGTTTGTAGTATCTAAATCTTAGTGATCTTTTGAACTGCAGTAGGTTGCACTGCATCGACTAACGGAACTTTTTTTCCCTTCCTTGCTCCACAGACCTATCGGGAGCCAGTTTCTGATTATCAGGTGCTACGGGAAAAAGCAGCATCTCAAAGACGCGATGTGGAAAGAGCTCTCACGCGCTTCATGGCAAAGACAGGAGAGACACAGAGTCTCTTCAAAGATGATGTTAGCACATTCCCATGTGAGTTACCTAGGACTTAAATGATAGTTATTTCACTGAGTATACCTTTATAGTTCATGTTAGTGCAGGAGGTGAGCACTGAAGGATCATGTTGCGTTTGCCCTGGCAAGGAAAGGAAGGAAATGAGAAATTTTCTATTATGATAAGGGGCAAAGAAGACTGAATTCAGGATCAAACCTAGTTTTGCCAGGTTGCAGACTGCCACCCTGACCAAAGGCCTCTTCGGTCTCCTGATGCTGGAAAAGGCCATCAAAGTGCCTCTGAATTGGGGAGGTTTCTCCCAGCTTGCTGATGCTGTCCTTTTCTCCAACCCTAGTGATTGCTGCCAGGCCTTTCCCTGTGCCCTACCT